GGGGTCATCTGGCATCCCAGGTATTTTCCCTGTCTCAGGCTGATTGGAGGTTGCTAGGGGGTTGCTATGGGTCCTCACCTAGCCTAACTGAGTCAGGGACACCTGGCGCTGCAGATATCTCTTGTTATTTACCGACAAACAACCCAGCAGGGAGGGTATGTGCCTTGGAGTGCTCTGTGGATTTTTCCCAGGACAAGGGTCACGCCCCCTTCCTTAGGACAGGCCTTGAGGTAGAGGCTGGTTTCTCATCAGTTTCTCAATCTCAAGCTCAAGGCTAGGCTCCACAGTTTAGCAAGACCTTCTATCAAAATAAAATAATAAAAAGGGCTGGGGTTGCAATACCCAGAGTTCAGTCTTCAGGCCAGCACTCACTCACTCAATCAATAGATAAGACATTTTGGGGAACAGCCTGGGGTCTTGGCAGGAATCTATACAAGTGAAGGGCTGTCTTCATTCATTTGGTGTTGCTATTACAGAGTCCTACAATCTGGTTAATTATTTTAAGAGATTAAAAACTGGGAAGGGTGGCACATTCCAAAAATCCCAGCAGCTTAGGAGGCAGGAGGATCACAGATTCAAGGTCAAACTGAGCACATTAGTAAGACCTTGTCTCAAAGTAAAAGATAAAGAGCTGGGGGATGTAGCTCTGCAATCGAGCACTTGCCTAGCCCTACAGCAGAAGGAAAGAGAGAGAAGGAAGGGGGAGAGAATTTGTTTTCTCACATATCTGGAAGCTAGAAACTCCAGGGACGTGGCACTGACATCTGGCGCAGGCCTTTGTCACCACCTGGCAGAAGGTAGAGGGCAAGTGGACATGAGACAGAAAGTTCAGTCTCCAGGGGCACAGCACTAATCCACTCAGGACAACAGAGTTTGTGGCCTCTGTCACCTCTTAAAGGCTCCACCTTGGTACTGTAGCAATGGCAGTTAAATTTCAGCAGAGCTTTGGAGGAGACCCTGGACCCACAGCGGGGTCTTGAGGCACACCCCCCCTCAGTTCATAGTAGGCCATTGAAGAGAGCTTGAACTGCTTCACTCCATTTACTCCCCCTCTTCATACTTTTAATTGAAATCTGATGGAGAAGGTCAGTTTAGGGCAGTTCACCATAGCCAGTATTTAAAATCATTTTTATCATAATCAGATGAGTGTATATCAACCCAGCAGACATCAGTAGGGGGTGGTCCACCTTGTAGGAGGAGGGACACAAATGTGGAAAATTATAGAGGCGAATAACCAAATCTATAAGCCTCTCTGCCCCTCTGTTCAGTCTTTCTTTTCCCTTTTCTTCCTAATAAAATTGAGGAAGAAGCTGGAGTGTAGCTGAGAGCTACAGTACTTGCCTAGCAGGCATAAGGTCTGGGTTTGAGTCTGAGCAATGCAAAAAAAAAAAAGGGGGTGGGGGAGCATAAGAGAGAAAGAATGAAAAAAGAAAGAAAGAAATTGAGGAAACCTCTTAGGATGGACATAATTTAAAGAGTGAAAAATCATAATAATAATTATGTTGGCAAAGATGTGGAAAAACTGAAACCCTCATAAATTGTTTTTGGAAATGTAAAATGGTTCATCCAGTTGTGGTAACCAGGATGACAGTTCCTCAACAAGTTTAACATAGAATTACCCTGCTACCTAGCAATTCCACAGCTGGGTGTGTATCCAAACTAACTGAAACAAAATTTTGTACATGAGACACACAAAAAAGTTTTTGTACACAAATATTCGTGCAGCACTGTTCACAAAAGCCAAAAGGTGGGGAAAACTCAAAAGTCTATCATCAGATGATGGGTAAACAAAATATGGTCTATCCATAGAGTGGAACATCTCTCAGACACAAAAGGGGATGAAGGACTGATACATGCTGTGACACATAAACCTCAAAAATATTATGCTTAGTGAAGAAACCAAATATTGTATGACAGCATTTATAAGAACTACCCACAATAGCCAGGTGCAGTGCCACACACCTGTAATGCCAGTGGCTTGGGGGACTGAGGCTGGAGGATTGCAAGTTCAAGGCTAGTCTCAACAATTTAGCAAGGCCCTAAGCAACTTAGTAAGACGCTATCTTTAAATAAAGTATTAAAAAGGCTGAAGAGGGGCTGGGGCTAGGGCTCAGCGGTAGCGCACTTGCCTGGCACATATGAGGCACTGGGTTTGATTCTCAGCACCACCAGAAATCAAAAGATGTAGGGGTGTAGTTAAGTGTTAGAGTGACTACCTATCACACATAAGGTGCTGGGTTCAGTCCCCAGCACTGGGTGGGGATGAGGAACACCATTGTGGTTTCTTATTACCAAAAAACCAGACAATGACAGATATTGACAAGGATGTGGAGAAATTGGAATTCTTGTGCACTTTTGGAAATGTTAAATGATGCAGCCAGTATGGAACAATTTGGTAGTTCTTCAAAAGATTAAACACAGAATTACCATATGATCCACATATTCCATTTTTGGGTACATAACCAAAAGGATTGAAAGCAAGGACTCAAATAGAGAGTTTATCACCAATATTTCATGTCAGCATTATTCACAAGAGTTAGTTAAAAGATGGAAGAAGGGGCCAGGGTTGTGGCTCAGTGGTAGAGCACTTGCCTAGCACATGTGAGGCACCACTGGGTTCCATCCCAGGCAGCACATAAAAAATAAATAAATAAATGAACATATAAAATAAAGGTATTGTGTCCAAAAAGGTGGGAGAAAACAAAAGTGTCCACTGATAAGTGAATGAATAAAAAATGTGGTCCATCAACACAATGAATATTTTTCAACCTTAAAAAGGAAGGGAGGTTTAGCTTAAGGTATAGCTTAGTAGTATAGCACTTGTCTAGCATGTCAAAGTTCCTGGGTTCCATACCCAGAACTGCCAAAAAAAAAAAAGGAATTATCACACATGTTACAACACGGCTGAACTTAGAGATTTCTGCTCAGTGAAATAAGCCAGAGACACAAAAGGACAAATATCGTGTGATTCCACTTATAGAGGAACCTAGAGTGGTCACATTAATAGAAACGGACAGTGGAATGGTGGCTCCAGGGTCTCGGAGAGGGAATCCAGGAATTGATGTTTAATAGGGACAGAATTTCAGTTTGGAAAGATGAAAACCTTCTGGAGATGATGGCAAATGCACAGCACGTGACTGTACTTAACAATACTGGCCTGTCTTCTTTAAAATGATGAATGTGGCAAATTTATGTTTTTGTTTGATGGTGTTGGGCTCCATCTCAAGTTCTCATGCATGTAGGCAAGCGCTCTACCACGGAACCGCACCCCCAGCCCAAGATTATACGTATTTTTATCACAATTTCAAAGCTAGAAAAAGTACAAATAGCCAGGTGTGGTGGTGCATGCGGGGGGGGGGGGGGGCCTGAGGCAGGAGTATGGCAAGTTCAAGGTCAGCCTGGGCAACTTAGCAACACCCTCTATCAAAATGAGAAGTAAAGAGTACTGGGGAGGGGCTGAGGTTGTGGCTCCTGGTAGAGCGCTCGCCTAGCCTGGGTGAGGCCCTGGGTTTGATTCTTGATACCGCATATAAATAAATAAAATAAAGGTCCGTTGACAAAAAAAAAAAAAAAGGATTGGGGATGCAGCCCAATGGCGGGGGGCGGGGGTTTAATCCTTGGTACCAAACAAAAAAAAAAAAAAGCCCTCCCTTCCCCGAGGGCCCTACACAGGGTCCCTGGCCACCCTTTGCACCAGCAATGGCTCTGGGTGGCCCCCGACCTCGGCTTGGCAGCCCCTTCCCGGTCTGGGGCGCGGAGTTCTCCCGGGTCTCTTCCAGAAGCCGGGTCCCCAGGCAGGTAGAATTCTCCTTTCTAATTCCATACATTTTTCTCCTGTTATTGCTCTGTTATTATCATTCCCTCTGCCGGGCCGCGAGGGCGCGCGGCTGGCCCATCTCTAATTTAGGGACTGAAGGAGCCCCGCGATCGCTCTGCGTAGAATGCGACCCCGCCGCCCTCCGCACCCCGACACCGCGCAGTCGCAAGGGCTCCCTCCGCCTGCAGAACCCGAGCCCAAGCGGCTGGGGAGCTGCGCGCCAGCCTTGACCTTGGAGCAGAGGGAGAGGCTGTTGCAATTATGAAGCCACGTTTTTCTGCTTCATTTCCAGCACTTAAAAATCTTTTTTTTTTTTAAACAATGCTTGATTCGATCTCCAGCATCGCAAAAACATAAAGGAAATTTAATTTAATTAAAGAATAAAAATAAATTAAAAATGCCTGAAAGCAAGAGCTATGTGCAGGGGGAGAAGGATGAAGGCTAAAATCATAATAAGCTTCCCTTTTGTTGTGTGGGCTGCTGGAATGCTTAAATTTTTTATAAAGAAACGTTTTGACGCAAGCCTGTAATCCCAGAGGCTCTGAAATCTGAGACAGGAGGATGACAAGTTCAAAGCCAGGCTCAGTAATTTAGCGAGGCACTAAGCAATTTAATGAGACCCTGTCTCAAAATAAAAAGTAAAAAGGGCTGGGGATGTGGCTCAGTGGTTAAGCACAGCTAGGTTCAATCCTTTGTATAAAAATAAAAATCCTATTTGGATATTTCCAGGGACAAATTGCAAGGTTTAAGCCAGGCGCAGTGGTGCACACCTGTAATCTTAGCCTCTTGGGAGGCTGAAGCAGGAGGATCAGAAGTTTGAGGCCAACCCCCCACAACCTGTCTCAAAATAAATAAAAAGGGCTGTGGATCTAGCTCAACAGTAGAGCATCCCAGGGCTCAATCCCCAGTACCTGAAAAAAAAAAAAAAAAATCTTTTGAAGCCTTAGACTTCAGGGACTTGCACCCTATTGCCCTGTTCCGCCCAATTGTGTCCCTAAATCTATACTTGGTCCTATGACTGACTTACTCCTCCACATCTTCAGTTATGAACTGAATACTGTGCCCCTAAACCCAGAGATTGAAGCCATAACACACAGTATGTACCACTGGTGTGTACCCTGTGCACCAAGACAGCTTTCAAGTAATAGGCCATGCTAACTTTAAAAGAAAAATATCAGAGTCGCTTGGAGAGGTTTATTGAAGCTGTGCAGCTTTCCCACAATCCAAATGGCTTCTGGTGTATAGGCTGCATGATGTCTCTCCAGCCACAAGTCCCCATCACCAAGCCAGGACAGGTGAACAAGGTTCATTCTGCAATGTCACTCGCCATTGAGCTGCAGCTGAAGGTGGGCCCTGCTGCTGGGTACGGTCAGGCTCTCTGGAAAGTCTGTTTACACACTTGACCTTCACAGAACATTTCCTGAGACAGGGAGGAAAGGAAGAAGAGAAGTAGTTGGCATATAGTCTGTTTTGACGCTCAACGCTCTGACATCAAATAAGCAGGGTTCTTTCCTCCTGACACCAAATGTGTGGTGTCTTTCCAACTCTCTGACATCACCTGAGTGTTCAACAGTCCAGTTCAGTTCTGATGCTAACTCCCACAGTCAGCACAGACCCCACAGGTGAAGGGCTCAGTCCTATCTTACGAGGGCCACCTGTGCTTCTGATTAACCAGCTTTAAGTTGGGGATTCCCATGATCCACCTCCTCTGGTTCGATAAGTCAGCGGAATGGCTCACAGAACCCAGAAGAGCACTTGTGATTATGTGTTCATGATAAAGGACACGGGAGAGATGCATAGAGCAGCATGGGTGAGGGGCTTCCCTCCCCTCTTCAGGGGTACCTCAAGATGATCTTTAAATAGCACACATGCCTATCGGTTTGGTTATTTGTGCCCAAAATGCAGGACCTGTGGACTTCTACCATTACCGCCCCCTCTTGTTGTTGAGAGACTTTGGACAAATCATTTAATCTGTCTAAATCTCCCTGTTGGTTAAAGGGTACTCAATAATTCAGCAACTTTAAGGGACCTTAGAAAATCTAATTAACATTTATAAAGCTATTTGAGAGTTCCTTGAAAGTTGCCTAGAAAGTCTTTATAAATATTAATAATAGTAAAGTCACCAAAACTGATCACTCCGATGTGGAGCTTGAAACTTAGTAAGTTTAATATTTTGAATTCAACTGAGAAAGCTTAATATGTTGAATTCATATTCTGTGGAGTGTTTGATTTAAAAGGACAAAATGATCTTGCCTATGACCACTAGATGTATTCAATATGTATTTCCATTCAATGGGAAAACGATTTAAAGACCTGGAAAAGGTTATTATTTTATTAAATAAAAAGGCAGAATATTCTGATAGAGAAGGAAGGTAGTTTGAAAATTCAAAAAACAGTTGAGTTGGGAGAGTAGGATTACTGGTCAAGGCGTCCTGCTTAACATTTCTTTTAATATTGCATCACTTCATTAAAACTAAGGGCAAAATATGTCAGGTACCAGGTGGAGCTTGTCTCCTTCGATCCAGTGGGTCCAACCTCTGTTCTTCTTCTCCCCATTCTGTACACAAGTGAGTCTGTCATGATCCCAGGTAACCAAGCTCTATGTGAGGAAGGAAAGAAAATGTTGGTTTGTTCCAGCAGGATCCTCAAATATTACTAAGTAGACTCGTGTGCCAAGTTAACCTTGCAAAATCAAGAGTCTATGTTATCCCTTTAATTTTTACCTCATTTGTTTTTTGGGGGTGTGCTGCTGGAGATCAAACCCAGGCCCTCTACCACTGAGCTATGCTCCCAGCCACTTACCTTGCATTTTCTGTTATCCAGTCCTTTGTTATCTTCATCAAATTCTTCTCCGACTTTGAATTTAACGAGGTAGTTCCTTAGGCTACTGTATGTGTGGATGGCAAAGGAATCCCCATTTTGTTCGATCACTTTCTGTGGCTTTAGCAATTTGGCTATCTTACGAGTGGCAAAGTCAATACCTGAAAAATATAGACATTTTAAAAAGTCTGAACATTCACTTGATATACAAAAGCTAAGAATTTGGTAGTTGTCCCCCAAATTGTTGCATATGATTGCTCCAGTGTCTTTACAACTTCAATATCTTCTGCTGCCCAAACTGGATCTATAGAAAAAGCTACCCAACGAATCTCCACCAAGAGACTCATAAAAATGGCTTGAAGGGCTTTCAGGAGGGTCATTAGTTGGGCTGGGCCTTAGGTAATACATCTGAAGCTGGGTGTGGCAGAAACAGTTCTGTGAATCTTCCCATAAACTGACAAGGGGACAGGGCTCAACCCAGCCTTAATCTCAACAACTCTGGTGTCTTCTTTTTTGGGGGAGTGGGGAGGGGTGGGTACTGGGGATTGAACTCAGGGGCACTCCACCACTGAGCCACATCCCCAGCCCTATTTTGTATTTTATTTAGAGACAGGGTCTCACTGAGTTGCTTAGCACCTCACTTTTGCTGAGGCTGGCTTTGAACTCATAATCCTCCTGTCTCAAACCTCCTGAGCCGCTGGGATTACAGGTGTGCACCATTGCACCCCTCAACTGTGGCGTCTTCTGCTCCATGTATTTATACTTCAAATTAAAACGGCAAGACGGCTGGGGTGTGGTTTGGTGGTTGCCCTTGCCTAGCACATTCAAGTTCAATCCCCAGCACAGAACTGTGTCAGGGACTGTAAGGATGGCCTTAGGCCTGAGCCTAAGCTACTCCATTTTTAAAATTCCAGTTTGAAACCTGCAGTCTCATCAGGCACGCCTAAGAAAGCCCTCCAGTGTGGCCCACAGACACAAACAAGTCACTTCTCCCCACCCTGATAAACTCAGAGAGAAGCCTCTGGCAGGCTGTCCTGGACCCATAAGAGGGAAAGGTGAAAAGATCAGGATGGGGACCACCAGACCAGAAGTTTTAACCCAGGGTAAATGATGTCACTGAGAAATCCAGTGGTAGCTGATAAGGATTGAAAGGTGGTCAAAGAACTCAAAATTTAGTATAAATAACAGAGCAAATGAATAGACATTCAGCCAGCTGTTACCGATGCATACAAGCTGGAAAACCTGATGAGGACCTGGACTGACATCCCAACTCTTCTCATCTGTCTAAACCTCTGCATGGTCCTCATCACTCTAAAACTCTACAGCCACATCTTGACCCTGGTGAGAGTCACAGCTTCTCCCTATGACTGCCTTAGGCCTGAGTGTCAGCCATCAGTGTCACCCAGGAGAAGCCTGCCTTGGTTCCTGACCTGATCACCACGGTCTGAGTGAATGTGCATCTGCTAAACTTAAAGCCTAAGGCTTGAGACTTTTTTTTAATATTTATTTTTTTAGTTTTAGGTGGACACAATATCTTTATTTCATTTTTATGTGGTGCTGAGGATCAAACCCAGTGTCTCATGCATGCTGCTAGGTGAGCCCTCTACCACTGAGCCACAACCCCAGCCCAGGCTTGAGAGTTTTGATCTGTTACCTTGTTTTTTAAATCCTTTAAAAAAAAAAATACTGCCACAGTCTGGCTGGGCACAAATGCCGCAGTCTGGCTGGGCACACAATCACGAGCCACCACACAGCTTGTAGATTCAAACAGCAACTCTTTATTCCCGAACTCACACCAGCCGTCTACAATCACGTTCTGGGGAAATCCACGTTCTCTGCCCAAATCCACGTTCTCTGCCCAAATCCACCTCCACTGGGCTTCTATCTCCCAAAAAATACTGTCTGAATCCCGTGAGAACTCAAGGGGAACTCAGGCAGCAGGATACGCCCTATTCCCAGCAGGAATAATCTTAAACCTTAAACCTGGAACCTAAACCGGGAACGCCCTAATCCGCCTTGGTCCTTGAGCAAGGTCACCTACATTCAATGTCACTGCAACATGGGGTACGCTGGCAAGGAAATTGTCATACCTACTTGGCTAATGGCTCCCAGCAATATACCTTTTTTTTTTCTTTTTTTTTAACAGGGCTGAGGACCGAACCCAGGGCCTTGCGCATGCTAGGCAAGCGCTCTGCCACTGAGCTAAATCCCCAACCCCGAGAGTTTTGATCTGACACTTGAACTTAACATGCAGAGGGAATGTCTGTCTTGAGCCTGTCATAATTAAGTGTGTTCGCAGTGCTTACAATTAATCTCAAATTGCAGTGCCTAGCATTAATGATTGTCATTTCTTTGATTAAGAACCTATAGAGTGAAATTGTATTGAGTGATTTTCGTGAATAAGCATTGACAAAGGCAGAAGCGCGTGAACATTCTTTGTTTCTCCCCTTCAACTGCAGATGTTGGGCCTTTTGCCCCTCGGAGACAGGGACTCAGAGGTAGAGCACATGCGCAATGCCCAAGGTTCATCCTCACACCAAACAGATGAACAAAAAAAAATAAACCTTTTGTGCTCATGGAATGTAATTTGCATACTGAGAAGTCTTTAATAAGCTTGCCAGGAGCAGTTTCTTACACGTGATCCCAGTGACTCAGGCAGCTGAGGCAGGAGGATCCCAAATTCAAGGTCAACCTCCAAAACTTAATGAGAATTTGACCCACAGTTAGGCCCAGTGAGATGGGAGCCTAGGAGTGTTTAGAGTAAGTGACATGATCTAAGTGGCAGGAAGCCACAGTTTAGATGCCTGGTCCTCAGCAGGAACATAGCCCTGAGCTAAAGTCTCCTAGGGAGAACTAGTTCTCCCCTGTGGGGCTGGGGGGGGGGATTAACCCTATTATGTAAAACAAAGTCCCTGGAATTTTTATTTCAGAGACTTAAATGCCTTGTTGCAGGCAGTTTGATCCTAGAGTGGATCCCACTTCCATGTGTTCACCTAAAAGATTTGATTCTGTTGGGAATGGACTGCCCTGCAAAGAGGCTAGCGGGCTCCCCACAGCCAAGTGCCTCCCACTTCCATTTCACATCTAGAAAATGTGGCCAAGACTGAGCAAGGCTCCCTTGGCAACTTATTAGCCTCATTCATTTCTGCCCACGATGAGAGTATAAATAAATGTCCTTAAGAAAATGCTTTGCTTTTTGTTTTTTTGTTTTTTTTTTGGATTTTTGTTTAGTATTTTGTTTTTACCTAGAACTCTGGCTTTTAGCTTGAGATGTGAATGATCCAGGTTTATTGGTTTTCAATCATGTTTAGGCATTGAGAGTGTACCTTAAAATACTTATCCTATTATTAATATGAGAAGCCAAATGCCAAATTTAAAATATCTATTACTGACTTTTCATCAACACTACTGTGTAAGTGAAACACAAAACAACTCTTATTATTTTGATTTTTTGAGATGGGAGTCTTGCTATATTTATTTATTTTTGTGGTTCTGGGGATGGAACTCAGGGTGCTATACCAACAAGCCACATCCCCAGTCCTTTTTTGTTTTTTATTTTGAGACAGGGTTTTACTAAGTTGCTGAGGCTGGCCTTGAACTTGTGATCCTTCTGCCTCAGCCTCCCAGGTAGCTGAGATTACAGGTGCATGCCTGACTTGTTTGTTGTTTCTATTGGGATCTTATCTCCCAATGTGTTTGATTAATTAACTTTATTCAATGGACACTGTATTTGAGAAGGTATTTATGGAAACAATTTAAGATCTTGCAGAATTTTTAATTACTTTAAAGAGAATTTTTTGTTTGTTTGTTTGTTAGTATGTCTTGTTTTACAGCTATATAAGAACCCTAATTATCTGGAAGCACCTTAACACAAGCTCAGATCTTGAGACTGTTCTGGACCACCAAGATGACACAAAACTAAGCTCCAGTCTGTTCAAGAAGCATTTACTTCCAGATGCTTTTTTACTCCTCTGGTGCAGCTTTTCCAAGTCCCAGCCCAAAGTAGAGCAATTACAGGGTCTCTACCCTTGGCCCACTCAAGACTCCAGCTTTTGTCCCCTATCCCATGAAGCTCCCCTAATTCTGGCTTAGTCTTGCAAACACCCTGAAGGTAAGAGCCACCCTAAGTGATGGGTTCACCTCCTGTAGTCCAGTTCTCTCCCAGACTTCAGCCTGGTGATTATTATTTTGGTAGCTCTCTGATGTTCCCTAAGAAGTATATATTCTGGGGCTGGGGATGTGGTTCAAGTGGTAGTGCACTCACCTAGCATGCGTGAGGCACAGGGTTCGATTCTCAGCACCACATAAAATTTTTTTAAAAATAAAGATATTGTGTCTACCTAAAACTAAAAAATAATAATAATAAAGAAGTATATATTCTATATTTGATCTAGCTTAATTCAGCTGTCTTCAATGGGAGAGTCAGTACAAGTACATTAGTTTGCCATCTTCAGAAGCAGATGTTTTCATGAAGTCTGAATATTTCTGCTTATGTTGGCATTAGAATATACACAAGCAGGAACATTAGGTTTTGCATTATTTACATTCTACTAGTTGTCCCATTGACAACTTGATAAATCAAAGAGCAGTGTGCTTCTTATGCTCATGAATGTAATCATCTAGGATGAAACAGCCCTACTTTACATAATAATAAATAAAAATAATAATAATAAAAAGACCACAGTCGCAACTGGCCTCCACCACTTATTCACCCAGGGGAAAACAAGTGAACTGTAGAGTCCATTCTGTACACATGGAAGGTAGAGTGTTTGCCAAACAAATAACAGGGTGTGCCTAATCATTTCCTTCCTAGCTTACTGGGAATTGGCAATAGGTTTTAACGCTGGATTTCAGCTTTGTATAAAATGCTAAGAGATCTGTGGTTGTACTTTAGACATATTTAAGACTATCAGATCTGGCTGGGCACGAGTCTGTAACCCGAGCTACTCAGGCAGCTGAGGCAGGAGGATGGCAAGTTCAAAGCCAGCCTCAGCAACTAAGGGAGACCCTGTCTCAAAATAAAAAAAATAATAATAATAAAAAGAGCGCCTCTAAATTCAATCCCCTGTACACCCTCCCCCCAAAAAAACACCTAAAAAAAAAAAAAAGTGCCACAGACATCTGGAGATGTAACTAGGTGGTAGAGCGCTTGCTTACCACGCTGGAGGCCCTAGGTTCAACCCCAGTACGGGGTTGGGGTGGATGGCACGGAACGGTGTCATGTAGGCGAAAGGTTGGCACATAGTCGGTGCTGAAATCCGCCAAATCTGAAAAATGACACTAAGGACAGGACAGACAGAATCAGTGCCCAAGGGCGGCGCTCTACCAAGATGGCAGGAAACAAATTCACATGGCCCTTGGGGAAGCGAGGTCACCGATCAGAAGCCCCACCGGGCCCTCTCCACACCCTTGCGGGAGACCGAGTTCCCTTTCCAGCGGCTCATCCCTCTCCCCGCACCTGCAAACCAGGTGGTCCCCTTGAAGCTGATCTGCAATTGCCCAGCGCCTGGCACCCGCCCTGCAGACACCGCCGACCGACTCTGTCCTGGGGAGGGAGTCGCGCCCCTGGACAGCACGGTGGGCGGCAAGTGGCCTCCCAATGCTCGGGGTTCCTTTCGCGGCGGGAGCCCTCGAGGGAGGGGAAGTCAGAAGCTGTCGGAGTTCCCACGCGGCCCCGGACCTGCGGGCCCCCAGCACCTGCCCGACCGCCGCGTCCTCGGTGCCATCCCGGCGCTGAACAGGGCTGGGGGCGAGGTAGCGGGGCTGGGGCTACGTACCGGGACCTCGCCTTTCCCGCCAGGACCTCGTCCAGCCTCCGGCGTCCGCAGGGAGGAGAGAGACCCACACCGGGCTCAGAGGGACCCTGGGGCCGGCGGACTAGGGCCCCGAGAGAACAGGCGGGAAGACGGGTAGCGGGACAGGGGGTCAGGGGAAAGGACGGATGGACCGACAGAAGGACGCGGGGATGGACGGACGGGGGATGGAAGGTCGGGCGACAGACAGGACAGGCCCGGCCGCCTTCGCCCTGAGCTCAAGACCGGTGGTCAGAACCCCCTCCGGCGTCCCCTTCGTGGCGCGGGCCCCTCCCGTCCTACCTAGGGCCAGCATGTAGCCCTCGAAGTTGTCGCTGCTGAGCAGGTTCCAGGTGCCACTCAGGTCAGCCGGCATGGTCGGGGGTCAGCGGCCAACACCTGCCGGCGGCGGGCTGCACCGCCAGTACTTTCCAAATGGGCGGGGGGCGGGGCCGAGAGGACAGCAGCGTGGGAGGAGCTGGACCGCCCCCAGCGCCGAGCTCCCAGAGGGACCCCTCTGGCTGCCCGCTTCTTTAGCCAGGGCGCTAGCCACTGCCCCCGCCCTTGGCAACTCGGGCTCCCTTGGGGCTCCTCTCCCTTACCTCTAAACACAGGCGAAACCCAGACCATGTTCCCTACCGCCCCCCCTTTTTTGTCCCTCTGCCTACATGTTAATGACCAAGAATGGTCTTCAAACTCATGACATTAAATACTGTATCAACTGCAAATACCAATATATCCACAAACCCAACTCTGTGAACAGGGATCTCAATAAACAGGGGCTGATTTTTCTTTCCAACCAGTCCTGAAATGAGCGCTTGCTGGGGATGGCCTCGCAGCTCCACAAAGCAGCAGCACCTCTGATTGCCGAGGCCCTTAGTGCCTGTTACCTCTCTGTCGTGAGTTGGCTGCTGGGTTTCCAGCCAGGACATCCGTACCGAAGGTGGGGAAGACCTGAAGCACCACTGGCCATTACCCCCGTGGCAGAAACCTCCTCAGCAGAGTTTTGTTTACATCTTAAAACCGCCCCATGCCAAGAGGGAGCCTGTGGGAATCAGTCTCTAGTACTTAGCCACTGCAGTAAAGAAGGGAGAAGGAGTGAGAGTATGGGCTCACCTGCGACATTAGCCCCCGACACCATCCATATATGCTGGTTCCAAGATTTATATGTGCATCTCTCTTTTTTAAAAATATTTTCTTTTTTTTTTAAGTTGGACACAATATCTTCATTTAATTAATTAATTTTTATGTGGTGTTGAGGATCGAACCCAGTGCCTTACCGTGCTAGGCAAGTGCTCTACAACTGAGCTATGACCCTAGCCTTTATATGTGCAGCATTTCTTTCTTGTCTTTTTTTTTTTTTTTTGGTACCAGGAATTGAACTCAGGGGCACTCCACCATTGAGTCACATCCCCAGCCCTATTTTGTCTTTTATTTAGAGACAGGGTTGCACTGAATTGCTTAGCACCTCACTTTTTTGCTGAGGCTGGCTTTGAACTCGAAATCCTCTTGCCTAGGCCTCCCCAGCTGCTGGGATTACAGGCCTGAGCCACCTCACCTGGCTTATATGTGCATTTCTGACCTTCCCCATGAACTCCAGTCTCAAACATATATATATTTTTTTGTGGTGCTGGGGATTGAACTCAGGACTCTATGCATGTGAGGCAAGCCCTCTACCAACTGAGCTATATCCCCAGCCCCATGTCTCAAATATATTGACAGCTAACTTTGTGTATTATCATTTGTCACGAAATTGTACTTCTCCAATAGTTACTTTATTATCTCTGTTTGACAGAGACAAAACTGAGACACAGAGAAGTAATTTGCTGAAGATCATACAGTTGGTGGAAGAGACCCCTGAGCTCATGTGCCACCTGTCACCTTCTACTCTGTCTCCACTTATAAATGTCTTAAAGATATCTGAAACTTGACACATCCTAGAAAGAAAAAATTAAAAAAAATATTTATTTATGTATCTTTAGTTTTTTAGATGGATACATTAGTTTGTTTTTAAGTGGTGCCTAAGATCAAACCCAGTGCCTCATGCATGCTAGGCAAGCACTCTACCACTGAGCCACCACTCCAGCCCCAAAGAAAGAAATTTTAAGAACAAAAGTTTCTCCATTTTTTCTCATCTCCATAAACTCTGCCATTAGTCACCTGGTTGCTCAAGCCAAGAACCAGGAGGTATTGTTGAATTCTCCCTTCTCTAGGCACCCAAATTCAATCAGTCATCAAGTCCTGCTGTTTTGCCATCTTAACCTGAGCTGCCTAGACCACTACAAAAGTGTGTGTCTGGATTTGCTGCTTTTCCTGGGAGTCCTTCCAACCATTCTTCACACTGCAGCCAGGGTGAACTTTTTTTTTTTTTTTTTTTTTTTTTTAGTAGAATCTTTTTCATTTAGAAACAAAACACAAAATGAGAAAAAAATTTTCCAACCACACAGGAGGGGTATGGGTAGGAGGGAGGTATCTTTCCATCCAGCCCCAGCCCCAGCCCCAGCCCCAGCCTGTGGTTTTGGCAGCAATAAGGAATATGGGGTAATGGCCCAAAAAATAAAAATGGTGTGTGTGTATGGGAAGGAGGGGGTGCAAAAGCTGTGGGGAGTGGTGAGGGAAGGGACAGAAGAGGTCATACATACATATGTGTCAGAGGTCATATATACATATGTGTGTATATACATATGTACACACACATATGTATATATGTATATTTTATATTTATTTTTTTAGTTGTAGTTGGACACATTACCTTTTATTTATTTTTATGTGGTGCTGAGAATCAAACCAGGGCCTCACACTTGCTAGGCGAGCACTCTACAGAGCCCTTCTTGATCAGCCTCTGGCTACTTCACCAACTGCATTACCTTCTATCTGTCCAAACTCAGTAGCTCCAGTCATTCCAGTTTTCCTTCTTCCAGAGCTTGGTATTTGGTATTCTTCTTCCCAGGGTGGGATTGGTTGATTTTTGTATGGTTAAGTCCTTTGGCTTGTAGTTCCAGAGTACTGTTCAGGAAACAGTCTTTCCAATCACACTCTCCAACAGGGAGAATTGTCTCTAGATGCCTGTAGCTTCTGTCCACCATCAGCTTCCTCCTCATGAAGGTAGGATGAGCTACTTGGATGGGGGCAACTAGGATGACTACCTGTCCTGGTTTCCTTGGAACTAAAGGAGGGCTTAGGACATGGAACTTTTCTTGCTGAAAGTACAAAACTTGCAAACTGGAATGAATGCTTGTCCTCGGGGCTGTAGCCACTGAGCCACTTTAATCCACCAGGGAGAGTTAATCTAACAAAATTTTTAACTCCAAAGTGAAACTGGAAGTGTGTTTATTTTACAGATCCAAATTTTCCCTTAGGTAAAAGTCCAGATTGGAATAGTGTTTAAATTATTACCCCCCATTAAAACAAACAAACAAACAAACAAACAAAAAAACCCTGTTAGCCTGAAAATAATAGAAATTGGCTGGGATATAGCTCAGTGATAGAATGTCTGTCTGCTTAGCATGTATGAAGCTCTGGGGTCAATCCCTGTAACAAAAATAAAAAAATTCGGGGCTGGGGATGTGGCTCAAGCAGTAGCGCGCTCGCCTGGCATGCATGCAGCCCAGGTTCAATCCTCAGCACCACATACAAACAAAGATGTTATGGCCGCCCAAAACTAACTAACTAAATAAATTCATTAAATTACTCACTAATGTGCAATTTGGACAGGACTCCCTAGGGACAGTTCATCTTAATTCAGTGTGGCATTAGCTGGAGTAAGTTGACTTGAAGGCTCTTCAGAATGGCTTAGGCTCATGACCAGCAAACTGATGCTAGTTGTGTGCTAGTAGGGAGCTCATCTGGGCCTGGGAGGCAGGGGCCAGGTCCCTCTTTATGTGGGACTCTCTAGGGGGGTGCTTGGGCTCCTTCACAGCACCAGAGACTGGATTCTCAGAGAGTCCAAGAGAACCAGGAAGCAACTGTATTGGTCTCAGATGTCATATTAAATCATTTCTACCAGAGTCCCAGGCTTTCTGGAACTCTGTAAGAGAGGGAGCTGTACTGGGGGTATAGCCTAGTAGTACAGTGCTTGCCCAGAACATGTGAGGCTATGTTTCCAGATTGAGAAAACAAAGGGAAGGAACATGCACCTCATCCCTCCATGGGAGGAGTGTCAATGTCACATTGTGAGAAGAGCATTTAGGACGGGAGAGATTGTTATAGCCATCTTGGACACCATACCAACAATGGCCCTCACACTAAGTTACAACTTCTAACCTAGACTATCAGTAATAAGGTGTCATTTAATTTTTTACTTGATGATTTAAAAAAAAATCTTATTTCTCCATTGGCTTAGAACTTTAAAAAGTGGCAAAGCACTTGCCCAGCATGTGTGAAGCTCTGGGTTCCACCCACAGCACCACAAAACAAAACAAAAAACCTCTGAGTCCCCTTCTCAGAACAGCCTTCAGTACAATGCTGACATCCACATGCTCCACTTCACAGCTCGGCTTGTGCCCTTCATAACTGCCATATTCTACAAACATCTCTTTTCTCCTTATTTATTGACTGCCTTTTTCATGCAAGGCAGAGACCGTGTTCCTGTCACTCCCCCCTACAGTATTCCCAGGCCTACCACAGTGCTTGACAAGTGACTAATAAATGTCTAAGACTGAATGAATGAATGATTTTGACCTTTCCCAAGGGAGAAATGCCATTTTTCTTGAGAAGCCCAAGTAACAGCACCTTGCGCAGAATGAGCTGCCAGTTCTCATGAGATACTGATTTACTTAGTGGAATCTGACAGGCTTAGATATACCTTGCCATTTAAAGGAGACGGAACCATGAACTCTGACCAGATTTCCAGAGCATGGGAACAGGACATGGAAAAATCATACTTCCTCTCCTTAAAATCTTATTGTTCTCAAACTTGACCTGAAAATGAAAGCCATGGAAATATACTAATTATTGTAGCTTTTGTGCTAGTTGGTATGGCTTTGGGCCAGTTTGAACAGGGGTCATCCTGTAGGGATGGACTGAATTTCAGTTGATGTGGTCAGACGCTGGAGTTGCCTATAGATCTTCCTTCTAGTCAGTACCAAAGGTTATCTCTGGAAAGAGTGAAGAAATTTATTTGGCCAAAATTGAGCACTTTCTTTCCTTTTGTTTGATGCTAGTGATTTGGCCAAGACATGGTGTTTTTTTAAACTCAGTGTTCTTAACCACTGAGCCATATTCCCATCCCTTTTTATTTTTTATTTTTTTAATTTCAAGACAGGATCTCGAAAGTTGCTTAGGGCCTCGCTAAGTTGCTGAGGTTGGTTTTGAACTCATGATCTTCCTGTCTCAGCCTTTTGAGCTGCTGGGATTATAGGAATGATCAGATTCTTTTTGATGTAAGGCACTCAGTAGCACATGCCCAACACACAGTAAGGGCTCAATAAGTGTTGGCATTATAAAGTTCAAACAGCACCACTGGCAAACAAGGTGCAGATTTCAGAGATGGGCACTGTTTATGCCTTCTCACAGTTGAGTGGATACCATGGTGGGTGATTTAGATGGAAGCCTTTGGAAACAATCTTGAGTGGCAGAGTAATGAACTTCCTATAGTACCCTGAAATAAATGTTAAAGGAGCCCATTTCATAACATAGCAACTACTGGGCTCCTAGAGAAGAGAATCAGTGAGTTTGGGAAAAGACAGCAGCTCCCTTTACTTAGATCAGATCGTCAGGATGGCACGGAAAGAAAGCATCCTTTGGTACAAGGAGATAAACCTGATGGATCCTCCAGCTCAATCCTTGTACCTGCATCACCAAAGAGAACCACTCATACCAAATAGATTTGCTGTACACACAGATAAACAACAAAGATGTTCTTCATGCGCTATATTTTTTCTGAAGAGATGCCAGTAAAGGACTTTCACTGCTAAGTTTGGTTGCTGCACTCAAATTATACCATGCAAGGAGCAGAATTCGATCCATAAAACCACCAACATCAAACAAATCACCAACATCACCCATTTCCTATATTCTCAATTCACCTTCCAAAAGCATATTATGAAAAAAATGTTATAGGGAATAAACAATGGTATATTTTTCTCTCACTTAAAGGAAATCCCCACAGTGGAGAATACCTGTTCCCCTGTGAAATTAATTGTTCTAATCTTCATTATCCAAAGAGAATGTTCTGTTCTGGAGGACACCCAAAACTATGCTATTCTGCGACAAATATCCTGGCAGCAGGATCTGTGTACAAAGCTGCTATTCCATAAATAGTGTAACGATAAAATTCTTTCCTAGACAATACATGTCCTGGGAATGTCCCCTGCCTGCATTCCCAGGGGTCCTGATGTCAGTATAGATAAACAGAGTGTGGGCACTTGGAAGTGGGAAGAAGCTTCTGATGAATGATGTGAGTTTTTTTTTTTTGTGTGTGTGTGTGTGTGGTGCTGGGTATTGAACCCAGGGCCTTGTGCATACAAAGCAAGCATTCTAGCAACTGAGCCATATCTCCAGCCGTGAGGTGAGCTTTTCTGGAACTTAAAGCAAGTTTGATAGTTTCATCTGCCTGTAGATGGTTATTTTTCAGGTCTACTTCAAACTTTAAGCTCCAAAAGTCAAGTGGGTAGAGGAAATGACCCTCATCTCTATGATCTGAGATTCTGACCCTTTATTCACTCAGTGGACTCCGGCTGAATCCCATGGGTGCCAGGTTTTGTGCCTCTCCTGTCTTTGCGAGTTGGCCGGACAGCTTTAGTAAGGATAAGTTTGGCCAGGCGCGGTGGTGCAGGCCTATAATCCCAGCAGCTCAGGAGGCTGAGGCAGGAGGATCATGAATTCAAAGACAGCCAGCCTCAGCAAAAGCGAGGTGCTAAGCAACTCGGTGAGACCCTGTCTCTAAATAAAATACAAAATAGGGCTGGAATTGTGGTTCAGGGTTCAAGCATTTGCCTAGCATGTGTGAGGCGTTGGGTTGGATCCTCAGCATCACATAAAAATAAGTAAATAAACCCCCACTCCTGCAAAAGATTAAGTTGGGTGTGGTAGAGTAAACATTTGTCAACTTTATTTAACATTTTCCTTTTTCCAACTGTAGCTTCATATCTGACTAAACAATTGCACAATTATAAGTATTTTTTTTTCTGAAGAAGAATTATAAACCTTCATCTGGAGTGGTATAGGTAATAAATATAAATTACAAAAAAGTAAATTATTCTATTTTTGTTGGGAATTTAACCATGATCCTGTTTCTATTGTAGAACAATTTTTAACAAACTATAAGAAGCTCTCTCTGGGGCTTGGCGCAGTAGCATATGCCTGTAATCTCAGCAACTCAAGAGGCCGAGGCAGGAAGATCACAAATTCAAGGCCAGCTTCAGCAATTTAGAGACCCTCTATCAAAAATAAAACAAAAAAATGGGCTGGGGTTGTAGCTCGAAGGTAGAGCACTTGCCTCAAATGCATGAGGCCCTGGGTTCGATCCTTACCCATAAAAATATTTTTATGCACCACATAAAAATAAAGACATTGTGATAATCTACAACTAAAAAAAAAATTTTAAAAATAAAATAAAAAAAGGACTGGCAGTGTAGCTCAGTGGTAGAGGGCTCCTGGGTTAAATTTCCAGTACTTAAAAAAAAAAATTTAAAATAAGATGAAGAATTCCTTCCCTTATCCATCCTGGTGGAGAGCCCTGCAATAGGCATATATAAAATGTCAATTCCTTTCATAACTAAAGTTAGGCTTGGTGGGGGTTGATTCTGTTTTGTTTTGAGTCAGGATCTGGCTGTGTTGCCAGGTTGGTCTTGAACTCTGGGCTCAAGTGATCCTCCTGCCTCAGCCTCTTAAGCAGTACCCGGCTAGAATCAGAATCTGGAGTGGACATTTGCTTTTCACACTTTGTTTTCTCTTGTGTGGTACTTATTTGGAATTAGTTTCATTAATATTTCTTCAGGTTTTAGTGAACTACTAGTCTCTTAAAAATAAAGTGATTTGTACATTCTTTTTTTTTTTAAGGCCTTATTAAAAACATTCATCTTAACCACTCTGATAAAAAGAAAAAATAAATCTTATTTTAATTTCCAACTGACTATTATCAGATTTTTAAAATTTTGTTTATGAAAGATAAAGATTTCTTTCCTGAGTTACAACACCAGATTGTTTAAAATCTCCAGAAGAGTGATCCAAACTGTCAAGCTGTGGCATTTCTATGACTTCGCCTCTGCAGTGTTTCTCTGCAAAGGAGCCAGGACAACCCCAACATTCCTATCTTCGCTCTCAGAGCTGTACAAATCATGCTTTTCAATGTATTCTTGGACCAGATCTGGTACCAAGTAGCGAATGCTCTGGCCCCTTCGGAGGGCTCTCCGGATCTTTGTGGACGAGATGTCGTTGTTGATCCACTCGTTCACCAGGTGAATGTTGCTCTGGTGTTTCCACAGCACATCAGACTCATAGATGAATTTCTGAGCATCACTTCCATCCCGAGTGACACATACCAGCCCATAGTCTGCCACGATTCGGGTGATGTCCTCACTCTTCCACAAATTGGGCACACCGAAGGACTCTAGTAAATCTGCCCCACACAGCAACTTCACCTCTGGCACACCTGGGAGGAAGAATGAAGCAGAGTTTCAGAGTTGGCTTCTCCAATAACCCCCCACAGTTACAATGACTGTACATATGTGTTTTTCAGGAAAGAGAGTTCAATTTTTATAAGATTCAGATTTCCAAAAATGATCCCGGACACCTCAAAAGCTAAAGTGCACTGCAGGAGAAGTAAGCACAGAGCACCTTTCACTCTCTCTTCCTTCATGAAGCCAACAGGGCCACCTTCTGGGCACCAGATGTGAAATCCCAAGGGCGGCTGCTCAGCTCTGGAATCTGAATTATTCTAGTCTTGGTCTCTTTGGAGTGCTGGTGGAACTTACGAACCTTTTGTTTTGGGCTCTAGGGATTTCTTCTGACTAGAATCCTGTCTTTGTTCCATGTACTTCCTCTTCCGTCCAGACCTTTCAACCACAGGTGAGTTCTGCCTGTGGTCACAGTTGCCAGCCTCTAGCTTCTCTTGATGGTGTCTATAAAACAACATAAAATAGTATTTCCTGCTTTCTTATGATGCTCCACTGAAATACTGTCCCTTTGAAGATGCTTAAGTCTCTGACCTAATGGTAAAATGGGGTGATATTCAAAATGTTTCATCACTGGTACCCACAGTACCCCACCAGTTAGGATGGCCAGTACAAGGTCAATCCTAGGAAAACACAAATGGTGTCTATCACCATTTTTTTGTGTCTGTGCCACAGCAGCAGGAGTCAACATGAATTATTTATTATGCCACGCATCACAGTAGAACCTCTGTGTGAATTGTCTGATTAAATCTTCTCCATTCCCATATCATAAATATCATTATCCCCACAATGAATGGGAAGATGGAGGCTTAGGAATGCAACTCTCCTTGTGGCAGAATCCCTGGAACATAGGAGGTATTTGATAACTTTTTTGGGGGTACCAGGGATTGAACTCAAGGGCACTCAACCACTGAGCCACAATTCCAACCCTATATTTAGTATTTTATTTAGAGATAGGGTCTCACTGAGTTGTTTAGCACCTCCCTTTTGCTGAGATTGGCTTTGAATTCATAAGCCTCCTGCCTCAGTTTCCTGAGCCTCTGGGATTAGAGGCGTGAGCCACCGCACCGGCTTGACAACAATTTGATTGAATGAATGTTTTGGTTGTCACAAAGAAGTGGGATGACTCTCCCCTTTTTATCAGAATCATTTGTCATCCCCATTAAGAGGGGAGCCCACTAGTTTTGCCCACAGTCTTTGGGCTTGTACATAGCAGAGACAGCATTTGAACCCAGTAGTCTGGTTCAGACCCACACTTCTGACCACCAACGACTGACCTAGAACCACACGCCAGGGATAAGGACCTGGAGGGCCAAGGGTCAGAGGCCCCACAGGAAGACACACAGGCGGATGTGTGCACAGCTCCATTCGGGGTGGGAAGAGGGTGCCACCACCTTACCACACTGTACCATTACCTCAGGTCCAGGAGCCACATTGTGGGACTCACTGAGGGGCCGTTGTGCTCTTAAATCCCTTCCCTCCTGAACAGCTGAACTGAATATGTAATAGGTTACCACAGAGCCAGAGAGCGATAGGTAGGACTAGGTTCAGAGCCTGGTCTGATTACAGAATTTTTTGCCAACAAGCAGAGGAGACTTTTCCCTGCCAAGCTTGAAAAGTGAGTCCTCCTGGTAAGTTCCTGCTGGACACCATCTGCCAGATCAGGGCTCAGCTCTGCCCTAAGCACACTGCCCAGAGGGCCTCACAGCAGCTTCTGATGTGACTGGGTTTCATGATGAGACTCTCGAGAGAGACCTGGGAGGCAGGGGTTATTATTACTCTGGGGCTGAGCAGCCTGACAAGTAGCCTCTCGCAGTGTGTGCATGGCTGCAGACTCCACACTCCACTGTCCAGTCCCCAGCGTCTGGAGCCTGAGGCAGCTTAACAGCTGCAGAGGTGGCAGCAGGAGCAGAATTGATTTCCTGATCTCCCACAGCAACTGAGAGGGCAGGACCTTGAAACACACGGTGGCATCCACTCTTCCAGCTCTTCTAAACATTTGTGCCTGAGCACCTAAACTCCCCTTCACTTTAGTACTCAGAGTGGCCTCTATTTCTTACTCTGACCACCACCCCCCCATACTATCAGTAACCAGAAGGCTCAGAACTCTAAGAACAGAAAGTTTTTTCAGAAAGCTTTTTAAATTTGCCTTCAAGATAATCAAAGAAATAATTAGATATTACTTACTCTGGCTTCTGAACCCTTAAGTGGAAGTTTTAAAAGTATTAGCACAGAGGTCTGTGGTATTCCCATGTCCCTGAGCAAGCATCACCTACAGCTCCTCATCCTGAAGCCCCCTGTTTCTCGCTCATACTGAAGACAGATGACAGCAATATCCTTCTGCAACTCTGCCTTTCTGACCTGAGGCTCAAACAGGCCAGGCAGACTGCCTCAATTTCCTGACAAATATTGCAGGATACCAAACACGGGGACATCTCAAACCACGACGACGACAGACACAAAGGCTAAGGAACACCCAACCTCTGTGCTGTGTTCTATAGCCTGTGGTGCCCTTCCATGGAAATGGCGCAGCCATGTCTTTCCAGCTCTGGTGACAGCTTTGCAAATCTGTCCATTCAGATGTAAGACAGTATTGAAACATGGCAAAAAGAAGGCACAGAAATGATATTAATTTCAGTATTACTACCTCAGCACCTTAACAGTCTCTGTCCACTCCTTCTGAAGACTTTCCCACGTGTCCACCTCCACCCAGTTGGAAGTCTTGGTGGCAAGTTCTGCCATGATGATTCGGTGGTGGGCAGGGATGAGCCCTTTCTTCTTATATGCATCACCAACAGGAGAAATTATGCCTTTGATAACTCTATATTTTCCTGGATAAAGAGTTGGATTGGAAATTAGGAATAAGAAATTTTGTGCACAGAAAATATTATGATTTTTATTTATTTATTTATTTTGTGGAACTGGGTTGATTGAACCCAGGACCTTCCACATGCTAGGCAAGCACTCTACCACTGAGCTACATCCCAGCTCCCTTTTTGATTTTGGTTTTAGTACTGAGGATTGAACCCAGGAGTGTTCTATCACTGAGTCACATCCCCAGACCCTTCCTTATTTTGAGACAGGGTCTCACTAAGTTGCTGAGGCCTCAAACTTGCAATATTCCTATCTCAGTCTCTCCAGTAGCTGGGATTATAGGCATGTGCCACTGTACCCAGATCAATATTACTTTTTTTTTAAAATATTTATTTATTTATTTTAGTTTTCGGCGGACACAACATCTTTGTTTGTATGTGGTGCTGAGGATTGAACCCGGGCCGCAGGCACACCAGGCGAGCATGCTACCGCTTGAGCCACATCCCCAGCCCCTCAATATTACTTCTGCAATCACAGATTCTCTTTCTTTTTTTTAAAAAAAAAAAACAACAACAGTGATTTAGATTTGTTAATTGATTGAAACTATGATAAAATATACATACATAAAACTTACCATTTAACAACTTTAAATGCATAGTTCCACAGCATTAAGCACAAGCAACCATCACCAGAACGGATACTCCTTAATTTTTTCATCTTCCCCAACTGAAACTGAGTTTCAGTTGGGGAGATGATGGTATGGGGGGGGTTGAACTCAGGGGCACTCAACCACTGAGAGAATACCCAGCCCTACTTTGTGTTTTAGAGACAGGGTCTCGCCGAGTTGCTTAGTGCCTCACTTTTGCTGAGGCTGGCTTTGAACTCGTAATCTTCCTGCCTCAGCCTCCCAAGCTGCTGAGATTATAGGTATGTGCCACAGCGCCTGGCCTGTACAGTTTACAATTTGATTGGTATTGCCAAATTACCTTGCAAAAAGCTTTAATGGATTTGCATTGTCCTCCTAGAGTGTATGCAGACCGTTTCTCCCCAATCTCTAATACTGGACATTATTGAGTTTAAAAACTTTTGTCAGTGTGAGGGGCAAAATATATGTAATTTTTAATTTTGGTTCTGAGATTATTGGAATTAATTAAGGTTGAACATCCATCCATCCATGTGCATCTAACAGAAAATTGCTTGATGATTTATGCAACAAAATAAAATGTGTGTATATACAAATATTTGCATGTAAAACTACAGAAAAACGATTGAAGGGTGAATTTTATTTTATTTTTGGTATTAGGGACTGAATCCAGGGGCACTTTACCACTGAGCTATACCCCACAGCTCTTTTTATTTTTCATTTTGAGACAAGGTCTCCCTAAATTACTCAGGGTCTTGCTTAGTTGATGAGGCTGGCTCCAACTTGTGATCCTCCTGCGTCACTGGGATTACAGGTATGCATCACCACATTTGGCTGGAAGAATGTATTTTTAAACTATTAACAGTGGTTGCCTCCAGAGAAATGAGAGGTGAGCATTTTATTTCATATACATGCTCTTTTATAACATTATTTATCTCTTAGAGCATATACATGGTGACCATAAAGTATGGAAACATAAGTGAATAATCATAACAAATGATTTCTCTCTTTCTCTCTCTCTCTTTTTTCCTCTTGTACTAGGGATTGAACCCAGGGACACTTTACCACGGAGGTGCATCCCCAGTCCTTTTTATTTTTTATTTTGAGACAGGGTCTCCCTAAGTTGCTTAGGGCCTCACTAAATTAATGAGGCTGGCTTTGAACTTGTGATCCTCCTCCTTTAGCTTCCCAAGCCACTGGGATTACAGGTACGTGCCACCATGCCCAGCACAAGTGATTTCTTGATTCTGCATTATAATATACGTAAAATAATATTCATACTTGATGGCCACCCTTTATTTGTGTGTTGTTTATGAATTCGTTCGGCTGATCCTGAAGCCTTTATGTAAATTAGAGCTTCAACATGGGCATGATACGATTAAATTTTTATTTTAGAAAAAACATTTGGGGGCTGAGTCTGTGGCTCAGTGGTAGAGTGCTTGCCTAGCATGTGTGAGGCACTGGGTTCGATCCTTGGCACCACATATAAATAAATGAATAAAATAAAGGTCCATACATATAAAATATAAAAAAAAAAAGAAAAGAAAAAGAAAAAAGAAAAGAAAAAGCATTTGGAACTATGTGGATGTGAAGCTAGTGGAGAGAGAAGCAGCAGAATGAAACCACAGCTCAGCTTGATGGCTGGGGTGTAGCTCAGTGGTAGAGCACCTGCCTAGCATGTATGAGGCCCTGGGTTCCATCCCTCGCACCACAAAACAAAACAGAGCAGAACAGAACAAAGAGTCCAATTAGGTGGGGTTTCACCTCCAGACAGCAAATTCTTACCTAGTCCTCACCTTATACGACTCAAACCTTCTGTTTCCCTGAGGAAAAGATACAGTTTTTATGTGCATGATGTAAACCTGTTATAAAATGAATCCCTGGATAAAATGGAATTATATAACCGTAATGAAAGCAAGGTTTTGTTTCCTTTTTTCATAAGGGAACAAAAAAGCTCAAGTGTGTGTCTTTTTTTTTTAATATTTTTTTTTAGTTGTTGATGGACTTTTAATTAATTAATTATATGTGGTGTTGAGAATCAAACTCAGTGCCTCACCGTGCTAGGCAAGTACTCTACCACTGAGCCACAACCCCAGTCCTAGGGTTTTTTTTTTGTTGTTGTTATTGTTTGTTTTGAGATGAGGTCTTGCTATTTGTGGCCCAGGCTGGTCTTGAATTTCCAGGCTCAAGTGATCTATCTTCTTGCCTCAACCTACTAAATAGCTGGGTCCACAGGTGGGTACCATCATACCTGGATGAAACTTGCATTCTGAGGATCATTGTTGCTTCTACTGAGCTCTAAATACATAAAACTGAATTTTTATTCTATAGGCCAGTAGCCAGATGCGTAGACATTCCATGGACATACCTTACCTGCTTTTGTGTTTGTTTTGAGGCAGTCTTGCTGTGCGCTCAGGCTGGTTGTGAACTAGTGCTGGGACTATATGCACACACCACTACATTCAGCTCCTCACCCTTTTTTGGCTAAGTCTCTGTGCAAGTGAGTAGGGAGCATGTTTGTACCTTGTTGATTAATTGTTCACACTGACAGAGAGACCCAATCAAGTGGTTCTTTAGCCTTAAATTGCTTTTCTATTTTTGTACTGAGGATTGAGTCCAGGGGTGCTTAACCACTGAGCCACATCCCCAGCACTTTTTATTTTTTGTTTTGAGACAGAGTCTCCCCAGGGCGTTGCTAAGTTGCTGAGACTGGCAAACTTTGATCCTCTGCCTCAGCCTCCTACGCTGCTAGGATTATAGGCATGTGTCACCAAGCCAACACTTACATTGCTTTTGGTTACTGTTCCTACCTGTTCCATTCAGGTAATCCTTGGCCAGCTCAAATAATCTGAGGTGCATGTTGGTGATTGGATTAAATGAACCACAAGCAAGAAGAACCACTTCAGTTTTCTCTGATTTGTCCATGGTAAGAACTTGAAGTTGGTGCTCTAAATGGAAAACTCTGACATCTTCCTTGTTGTCTACAAAGGAAAAAGAAAATAAATCCAGTTATGTGATCATTAATAAATAAATCAATAAATCCATGTGATCATTTCAAACAGATGGACAATATTTGGCTATAATGATTATGCTAAATGAATTACATAATTGGCATTATTTCCCCACCCCTCCTTTTTAACATAAATATGTAACTCCTATCATAAAGGGAGGGAATCTCCTTCTCTATTCTTTGTGATTTGTTTTGCCCAAAAGAATGTGGGCAGTAGCAATAGGGTGCCAGCTCTGAGCCTAAGCCTCACAGGCTGTCTTAGTCCATTTCCTGTTGCTATAATGGAACAGTAGAAGCGGGTGCTTTATAAAGAAAAGAAATTCAGGAGTTCCAAGAACATGATGCTGACTTCCTACTGAGGGTCCCAGGTTGTATCACAAGGTGGCAGAGAAGCAGAAAGGGAACCAGGCACATGCAGAAGGAACTAAGCACATATAAAGTGTTGTATAGTGTTGACCTTACTTTATAACAATCCATTCTCTTGAGAAGTCACCTCAGGGACCACCATGACCTAATTACCTTCCACTAGGGCCCACATTTTAAAGGTTCCACCACCTTCACATTGCCACACTGGAGACCAAGCTTCCAGCACATGAACTTTTGGGAGACTTAGTACCACATTCAAACCATAGCAGAGGCATCGAACCCTTCTGTTTTCAGGACTGCCACCCAGCCATGAAAACTAGCCCAAGCGAGCCTGCTGGAGTGTGGTGGAACTCGTGGAAGAGTGCTGGTGTCCCAGCAGATGGACAGCCAACCATACAGTATGTGACTGCAGCCGTCCTAGGCCAGCCAAACCCAACCAACTTGAGCAGACAGGCAGCAAGTCCAGGTGGAATCAGCCAAACCCGGCTCAGGTCAGTAACCACGAGCTGATCCGACTCACAAGCAAAAATCAATATTTTTGATGGATGCCACTCAAGTTTTGTGATTGTGTTATTGTGGTTATCGTTAACTGAGAGGATATTATCATCTAACAAATATAAATCCTAACACCTGTCTTTAAAAACAGTATTTTCACCTCTTTGTCAACATGATCATGACATCATTTTTTTTTAAATTTTCTTTTTAGTTGTAGATGGACGTGATATCTTTATTTATTTATTTGGTGCTGAGGATGGAACCCAGCACCCCACGTGTGAGGCAGGCACTCTACCACTGAGCTATAGCCCCAGTCCAACATTATCATTTTGCATGGAGTGAGATTTATAATCTACATATATCTTTGTTACATCATTCTATTCAATCTTTCTTAAACCCTAATGAAGTCATGCTAGATATCTGATTTAAAGTATTGGGGACGGAGTGCATTTCCTGGTGGAGCACTTTCCTAGCATATGCAGGCCTGGCTTTGATCTCCAGAACTGCCAAAAATAAAATAAAATAAAAGTTGAGGTGGTGAGGAAGTAGCTCAGTGGTGGAGTGCTTGCCTAGCATGCATGAGGCCCTGAGTTTGGTCCCCAACACTGGAAAAACAAAAAACAAAACTGTAATACAATTTTACCAAACTTGTCCACCTATAGAAATCATAACATGGAAAAGGCCCACAATGAAAACCAACCACCATTCCATCCCCTCCCCCAGCTGCCTAAAGGCAACTACTCCTCACCTCTTCAGTTATTTCTCCTGCTAGATTCTACCATAATTCTACATTGTGAGCTTCTGATGCTATTTCTCAAGTTATCAAAATTACAGAGTTCCCAATGACATCCTCCTAAGATCTGTGAGGATTAGTTCTCATAATCCCTTGCTAGTCTCTCCCAGACTTCCTGTATTGGCAGGAATCTCCAGAGAAACAGAACCAAAGAACATATGTAATTAGGAGGAGAGATTGATCAGATTTTCTCAGAGGATCACAGAAGCTGAAAAGCTTTACAACGGCTGCCTCAGGCTTGAGACAGGGAAAGTGGCAGCCTCTCATCCCAAGAACCCAGAAGCACCTGGTGTGGTGATGCACACCTGTAATCCCAGAGATTTGGGGAGGCTGAGGCAGGAGGATCACCAAGTTCAGGGTCAGCTTCAGCAATTTAGCAAGAACTTGAGAGACTTACTGAGACCCTGTCTCAAAAAATACAAAGGCTGGGATGTAGCTCCATGGTAAAGACCCCTTGAGTTCAATCACTAGTACTTAAATAAATAAATAGACCTCTTATTTGTGTGACCTTGATTCAATTACCTCTTTCAGTTTTCTCAACTGTAAAATGAAGATAGAGACAGAACCAATCTCAGTTATTTTGAGTAAGTTTTTATTTTGTGGTGCTGGGGGTGGAACCCAGGGAGGGCCTCAGCATGCTAAGTTCTACTGCTGAGCTTTGCCCCAACCCTGAAGATTATTTCTCAGGATAATACATGGCCAAGTGCTCAGCATATTGCCTGTACCACTGTGTTAAAATGGATGCAAGCTGAAGACTTTGAGGAACAGAATAATACTGATGATGGTGATGAGGCAGGACTGATTAGAAGAGCAAAACAAGAGAGAAAGATCAGCTACAAAGTAAGCACAGCTTCATTTAAGTAAATCTTTGGGGTAAGAATTAAGAAAGAGATCTGAGGCCATTTCCAAACACACAGTAATCCCAGCTACTTTGAAGGCTGAGGCAGGATCATCTCCTGTGCCCAGCAGGTTCAATGCCAGCCTGTACAACATGATGAGACCACCATCTCAAAAAAAAAAAAAAAGGCATAATGATAGGGATCACAGGGACAGTGCTAATTGCGCATAGAAAATAAAGGAAAGAACAGTCAGAATGGTCAGCATGGCATTAAGGAATGAGTTCAGCTGGGCGCAGTGGTGTACATGCCTATAATCCCAGGGACTTGGGAGGCTAAGACATGAGGATCACAAATTCAAGGCCAGTCTCTGCATTTTAGCAAGACCCTATCTCAAAACATAAACTGGGCTTGGTGGTGCATGCCTATAATCCCAGCAACTAGGGAGGCTGAAGCAGGAGGATTGCAAGTTCCAGGCCAACCTCAGCATTTTTTTTTTTTTTTAAGAGAGAGAGAGAGAATTTTTTAATATTTATTTTTTAGTTTTCGGCGGACACAACATCTTTATTTGTATGTGGTGCTGAGATCGAACCCAGTACTGCGTGCGTGCCAGGTGAGCGTGCTACCGCTTGAGCCACATCCCCAGCCCAACCTCAGCAATTTTTTAAAAATATTTTATTAGGGCTGGGGACATAGCTCAGTTGGTAGAGTGCTTGCCTTTCATGCACAAGGTCCTGGGTTCAATTCCCAGCACCAAAAACAACAACAACAACAAAACTTATTAGTTGTTGATGGACCTTTATTTATTTATTTGTGATGCTGAGAATCAAACCCAGTGCCTCAAACATGCTAGGTAAGCGCTCTACCACTGAGCCATGACCCCAGCCAGCCTTAGCAAAAGAAGAGCTAAGGGTGGCTGACTGGTAGAGCACCCTAGGCTCAATTCCCAGTATGGGAAAAAAATGAGCTAATAGGTAAGAAGGATTTAAATGCTCCCCCTTCAGTGACCATACCGAAGGATAATACCAGGGTTCACTTGGGGCTATACCCAACCCTGTCATCCCTATCCCTATCCCCATCCAAACTACCTTCTGCATTATAGTGGTGGTGAAGGCATCCTTCCCACAGTACCCTGGGCCCTGCAGGGAAGCCACTGCGCCTACTCTCCAGGACAGCAGTGCAGGGGCCAGGGGTTCAGCTGATACCTGGTATAGTCCTGGACCTGCCCATGTCAGGTTTCAGGCCTGCTCCCCAAGGGAGATTAAGTGGGAAGACGGTAAGGCTGAGAGCATGATGTGGGGGCTCAGGGGAGCTGCCTGTGGTCCTGAAACTGACTTCAGAGCCAGAGATGAACAAAGCCCTGAGCCCCTCTGTGTCCTGAGGGAGGAGTTCAGGTTTCAGATTCTGCCTGGGGGATGGGGAGGGGCAGCGGGAAGATGATCTTTCAGCATAAAGGAAGCTGTCTTTGTCCCTTGTCAACACACTCTTGATTGGTTTTGAATAACCAGCAGTTTCATTAGTTCACTGTGAACCCAGCCAGCCTGAGCTCAGACTGGACTCTAGACCTTCAAAGTCACAGAAGAGTTAAGTCAGAGTGTGCTCCTGCCAGAGCAGTCTGTCCTGCAATGGCAGGTGATGAACAGAAGTAGTTTGAAAGCCTGGTGGGAATTGTTCTTTTTTTTTTTTTTTTGAGAGAGAGAATTTTTTAATATTTATTTTTCAGTTTTTCGGCGGACACAACATCTTTGTTTGTTTGTGGTGCTGAGGATCGAACCTGGGCTACACGCATGCCAGGCGAGCGCGCTACTGCTTGAGCCACATCCCCAGCCCTGCTGGAATTGTTCTTGATCATCCTTGCATTGCTCCAGGTGCTCCAGGGCCAGGGTCACCATGATTCACTTCTGTTTGGCCCACACAGCCTACTACGTGCACTGCTGGCTGCCCAGATCGCATCAGCTCAGACTGTAAGTGTCCCTCCCTACCCACTGTAACAGAGTAGAGTTCATTTCTTCTGAGGCAATCTTGAAGTTTAACTAAAACTTACTTTTAATTTTTAAATCATTGACCTTTTCAAGTTTTAAAAACATTGAGGTGTGAACATGAAAACATTTTTTTAAGAGAGACAGAGAATTTTTTAATATTTATTTTTCAGTTTTCGGTGGACACAACATCTTTATTTTTTTTATCTTATGTGGTGCTGAGGATCGAACCCAGCACCCTGCGCATACCAGGTGAGCGCGTTACCGCTTGAGCTACATCCCCAGCCCAACATTAAAACGTTTTATAAACATTAAGCCAGTTTTTAAAACATCAACTCTTTCAAAGAAAACAGTGCTGGTCTTGGTTGCGCAGCCTGTAATCCCAGTTCCTCTGGAGGCTGAGGCAGGAGGATCACAAGTTCCTAGCCTTAGCAATTTAGCCCCTAAGTAATTTAGTGAGATCCTATCTCAAAATAAAAGGGCTTGGGATGTGGTTCAGTGT